TCAAAATTTTTAGATAAAAATTTAGCAAATCGATAAAAATAATTTGTCTTCCACTTCACGTCAAGTACATAACCTTGAAATTATTTTACTAACAATTAGTTTGTAAATCTGCCTAAAGGAGGGGGCAGTACATAATCAAAGTAGTCAACTAGTTAGCTTGACTGGTTTATCTATGTCACTGACTATGTACTGCCCTATTTAGACAGATTTACAAACTAATTTTGGGTAAAATAATCTCAAGGTAACAAAGAACTTGACATAAAGTGGAAGACATTATTTTTCTATTGATTTGTCAAAGAAAAAAATTTCTGTAATTAATTTTTATCATGAATATATCATATTTAAAATAATTAAACGTCTTTATTTGAAAAAGTAAATTAGAATAACATGAAACTTGAAAGGGACTGGCATTTTTGTCTGTGATCACACATTTTAATATTTATATCTAAAAGATTTCAATTGATTTTTTATATTTTGAATTGTAGAAATATATTTATAGTCATCTTTATGCAATGCATTGCTCAAATTAAACTTTAAACATAATTTATCTTGAATTTTCTTCTGGGACAGCATATGTAAGCAAAATTTGGAAATGCTTCCATACCAATGTAGTGTTGGATGTGGTTCTCTACGTTCATGGGCAGCCACAAATGTAGAAGAGAAACCGGCAGCTGCATGTTGTAGTGTTGAAAAATACCCTGAAAGACGGGTTTAGAAACAAAAGGTTGTCGATTAAGAGTCGAAAAATTGGGTGGCAGTTTTATTTATGTTTACTGACATATTGTTAGCCCTGCACCAATGTTCAAGTCATTCCAGGTTCAGATTCAAAATAGTGTTGAGCTCAGTTTGTACTTTTTCCACAGACCTACAAGAAAGGACTAGATTATCTGCAAATAGAGCGTATTTTGTCAATCCATGAGACTTTTTCAGGTTAGGGAGATCATTTACAAAAGTATTAAACAACTTGGGGCTAAGTACAGTGCACTGTGTTATAGACCACTTTTATTTTGCTTAAATTTTGAAGTGTGATCCACAGAATGAGTTGCACAGAAATGTTGAGAAAGAAAATTATTAATCCACCAGAGCATCTCTCCATTAACACTAATGTATTACAGTTTTTGTATAGTCCTTAAACTTCAGACCCTATCAAAAGTGCCCTCAAAGTGTACAAACATGGCAAAGAGAGAATATCAGTGATTCAGGGCATCTTTTATAGATTAGCCCAAGAAGGTGACCTGTTGGCTAGTTGATTAGAATCTTCTAAAACCCACCTGGTTTGTAGACAAAAGATTATTTATCTCAGTATACCAGTTAAGATGAACTATCAATCTCTCCATCTTTTGATAGAATGCAAGTCAAGGAAGCAGGCCAGTAACTATTAAAGTAATCTGGGGGTTTATTCCTTTTATGAATTGAAATAATGAATAGCTTTTTTCCAAATAGCAGGTACTGCAAAATTCCAGCTGTAATATATAATTTTAAAGGCACAGAAAGTACATTTTTATTAAGATGTAGAAATTCAGGGAAAATGTTTCCAGCCCTGGACTCTTTCTACACTAATGTCCATAAATTAAGGATAATGCAAAATCAGGCAAAGGAAGAGTTAGAAGCAAAACAAATCTGACTTATTTGTAAAGCTTATTTATTAAACAAAAGGTAAAGAGCAAAAAAAGATGCTATATGTTTGATATTATTAAAAAAATTACCGATTTTTTTTCCTCCCTGAGGCAAATTACAAAAAAAAAAAAAAAAAAAAAAAAAAAATTACATGGTTGGTATGATTGGTAATACATTGTATGTCTCACAGATGATGCAATGCAGTCCGTACAACGCCTAGGCATGCTGAGTATCAAATTATCGATCTGATCTTGGGGGATATTACACCACTCAAAAAAGCAATGCTCTCCGAAGTTCCGATAGACATGTAGGAGGAGGTTGACGGGTTGCAACTCGTCGGCCAAGCATGTCCTGCACGTGCTATACTGGATTCAAGTCCGGTGAGAATGCTGGCCAGTCCATACGGGTGATATCCTCCGATTAAAGGCATTCGCTTACAATGTTTGCATGGTGAGGACGGGCGTTGTCATCCATAAATACAAATTGTGTGCCCATGGCGCCCCGAAACAAACATACATGTTGTTCCAGAATGACGTCCCAATAGATTTGGCTTGTCATGGTTCCAATTTGAACATGCAGGTCAGTTCTGGAACCCAGAATAAATTCCACCCCAAACGAGCACTCCTGCACCACCGTAATGATGTTTTCTTGGTGGTAACGGGTACCTGGAGCTCTCCATATGAAAGTCCGGCAAGAATCAGACTGCAAGCTAAACCTAGACTCATTGGAAAACATCACACAAGCCCACTGTTGCAGTGTCCGCAATGCATGCTCTCTACTCTAGGTTAACTGCAGGTGACAGTGAGTTGCAGTAAGTGGAACGCATCTGACAGGTCTACGAGCATATAGACCAATCTGCCCTAAGCATCTGTACACAGTCTGCCTTGAAATTGTTGTACCAGTGGCTGAAGAGAGCTGACGAGACAGGTCTGAGGCTGTGCTCCGCCTGTTTCTTTTGGCAGTAACTGCCAAATACCGCTCCTCATTCGGTGTTGTAACTCTGGGACGACCTGTGCTGTAATGTCTACTCACATTACCATCATCTTGGAATCATTGCCAAAGCCTGGAGATGACACTGTGGGCAATTCTAAGTTCGTCTGATACTTCCAGTTGGGTACGCCCACATTCCAGACGGCCGATAATTCTACCACGTAAAAAATCATCCAAATGCGTCCTTTGTGTCATATCTATTCGGTTATTGCATTGAAATGCTTATAAAGCGCCTGTGAACAATTTTACTTCTTTGCCTGTATTCCTTATATATCACTCTCTTACACTCTCGTCATTGTGATGTACCATCGGTGTCATCTGGTTACTTCCTGAAATTTGCATATGATTCTTGAAGATGTGAGTAGTGATTTTACAGGTGATATATTTATTTTAGAGTTCAATTTCTGTGTGACTCCGAATTATCCTTAATTTATGGACTTGAGTGTATTTCTCATTTGTCTAATGGCTTCCACAGTATTCCAATAAGCCAATTTCACTATGGCTGATTTCATGTCGTGGTTTTTTGGACTGGGAAGAATAGCATTTTTTAACCTGCCTTCTGATGAGCTTCTGCCTTTTTCTTAAGATCTTAATTCAACTCTTATCATATAGAATAAAAACAAATAAAAGTGTTAAAAATCTCTTTGCTATCAGTTAAAAGCTTTCTCATAACTCTCGCTGGTTCTCTAATTTTCTTATTAGACTTATTCCTCACTTTATTCACAAAATGATAGATCCTATGATTTTGTGAATTTTAATCATTTCACAAAATACATAATATTACAAATAGGTAATATGTGATCATATTTTCACAAAATTTTAATCCTATAATTTTGTGAAATAAATTACCAACCTTTGTTTAGTCAGTCTTAGTAATAAAATCATTAGAACTCTTGCTTTTGCAGTTAAAATTTCTTTGCACAGAATAGCAATGTTCTTTCTCCAGAATTGGATGTCTTTGGTTCTCTTGGTTAATTCTGTAGAAATGTGGGCTTGGCGAGAATAAACTTTCATAGAATTAAGTTATTCATTCTAGAATAGTTTAAAATTGTGTTGTTTTCCTCTAGGAATCACTTTTCAGCACATGAAAATGTAATATTTTGAAATCTAGAAAAGGCTTTAACAATACTTTCTTTTGAAACAAGGAACTCATTTGAAGAAGAAAATTTATGTTCGAGTTCTTTTGAGAATTCCACCCATTTGGGCTTTTTGAAGTTTCATCTATTTTTAACACTTTTCTAAGGGAAATTTAATCCCTGTAATAATGATATGGTGATACGAACCAGGGTTGAAGGCAATTTCTGTGCTGGTATTTTCTGTAGTATCAGAAGTAGCTAATGTCAAGTCTGGGTTAATGCCCCTTCTATTGTAATATGAAAAGGCTGGAAAGTAAGTGTCATTGATTAAAAGTTCCAGTTTATTCAGGAGATCCAGGTGCTGTTAAGACCATTGTGTTTTGATTTTTTACTATGGGCATTAAATTCAAATAGGATTTTATTTGTATTTAGAAAAATGGAAGGCCAAAATCAAGTTTAGAATTACTAGGAGGACTGTAGCATGTGTAGATCTTAAATGGTTTTTCCTCTTCCAAATGTAGATTTGTGCAATTTCTGTGCCAGTATAAGAGGAGAGAATAGTAATGATTTTAAAAGTGGCTGTCAAACTGTTTCTAACATCAAGACAGGATTCCACTTACAATTTGTCTTGACTTTGGTAATGTTTGAACATCAAAAGACTTGCAAACAGTCAAAACTTTTGTTTTCTTTTTGTTGGAGAGACAGCTGCATCCATTGAAGAATATTCTTATCCTTAAAAATTTTTTTTTTTTTTTTGCAAAATTTAATTGCATCATCAAGAAAAGTTTGGAGAGCCGGCAAAAGCTGTAACAGATTTTTATTACCCAGGATGCACCATAAGGAGGCCTGTGATGTTATCCGCATAACTTTTAATACACTAAGATATTCAGTCAAGATTATGTGAGCTTCTTGAATATAAAATTGCATTTTATTTGGTTACTGTTTTATTTAGTTATTTGTTCATTTGTTACTTTTAGGGTTTTAGAGTTTATTTTATTTTTAATTGAATGTGGGTCATACAAAAATGTTTATTTTTTATATAGAATTGTAAATCTTTCTGTTCTAAATCCAGTGACTTTTAAACTAAAAATAGCTGTAATAGAACGTACGTTATGGCGAAAAGTGTTCCTAATGGGCCTTAATGGCAATCGTTTTTTTGTCAGATTAGCACAATTTAACTATTTCTTGCCAACTTAACAACTCTCTGGAAGTCTGGAATAAATGCATATTTGAAGCTATAGGACCAATTTTTCCTTATCTATAATGATTTTCATATATTTGATGCACAGATTTAATTATTTATTTATTTATTAACAGAAATATCTAACTTTATTCAATTGGCTGAAGATTTCAATACAAAAGATTCAGACTATGATGTTGTTAAAGAATATTTGCAACTGTCTGGAAATTGCCAAGAAATTATGCAGTTGGTGAAACATTTACCAGATTCAGATTCCCAAAATGTAAGAAAATAGATCTTAGTTGATTTGCAGAATTTTTATGTGTTTATACTGAAGTTTCTTTTTTTTTTTATTATTTTTTAATTGGTATTTTTGAGTTTTAAATAGTTCATGTTTGAGTAGTTATGATTGGTTTGATTATTGCATATTTGTAATAATTTTGTAAATGAACATTTTGAATCTTTGAATAAATTATGTGTAAATTTTATAAAAAATATTTTTTAAAATTTGCTTATGTTATAATGAATGTAAAATTATACAAACTGTTTTTATTGCACTCATGTAATGCATTAATATATTATTTTCTTCAGTTATTTAGAATGTCTAAATTAGTGACCTATAAAAAAAGATATTTGAATTTTTCATAATACGAAATTAAAATTTCTGACCCTATTATTCAAACCTTTTTTTTTTTTTTTACTTTTTGCATAGGTAATATAATTTTTAATGCAAAATGATTTATAACTTGTCATTTTTCTTTTTGTTTAAATTTCCATATTTAAGATTTAATTATTCACTAGAAATGGAATCCTATTATAATAGCAATTTTTTATTTCCTGATCATATTAAGCACTATTGTTTATGAAACATTTAATTCATGACATCATATCATTTCTAAACTATAGTAAGATTTATTTATTTGTATCTTTATTTAGGCAACGCTTTTGATGAAAACTTTTTGTCATATTTTGATGCGCATTGCAAGTGATTTGCATATCTTTTCTGCTGCTGGAAATGCCATTGTTAATGAAATTCTTGCTAATGGGATGAAAACAGTGTTTGGATTTCTAAAAGCTAAGCAAAAATCTTCCAGAGTAAAACTAGCTTTACATCTGTTGTCATCAATGGTTGCTTTAGGGAAACAAGCAGCTCACAGAGTAATTTCTAAACTGGATTTTTCAAATATCACCTTTACTCAGTTGTTGAATCGAGCTAATTTTTCGGTAAGAAAGCAAGTTATCATTTCAAAATACTTATTTTTTTTGAATAATGTAAGTACAATATCTTGTTATTTGTACTTATAATATCATTGTTTAAATGTATATTGTGATTCTTTATCATTATTATTACCAATGTCAAGTGTGAAAAGTTAACAAATGTTTTTTGATGTTTCATACCTAATTTAAAGTGTTACAACTGTTTGAAAGTATAAAATTTAAGCAAAAGATGTCATTCATGAAGAAATAAAAAATTTTTACGAATATTGAATTGTTTGCTCTATAATGAAATTTGTCACTCTTGAAAAAGCTAAATATTAATTTAGAAATTTTCATTAATTATATAGTAAGAAATATACTTGCTGTTTAACTATAGCTGTGATTTAAATTCTTGCATTCATTCCACATTTTTACATAATGATACTGCAATATTTATATTATTATTTATGTCACGTTAAAAAATCTGATGACTTTGTGACTGATAACGACATTTAATTTATACAGTGTCACATTTATTACTAATTACATTTAAATTTATACATTTTTGAATATATGCATTAGCAACTCTGAGTTATGAGTTCCTGAGATATGTCTAGATATTTCAATGAGAGTTCCGACATGCTGGCCAAAGAGGCTGTTATTAATAATGCCGGGGATGCATTCGATATTCAGGCATCAAAAAGAATTGATATTGATAAAATGAAAGATTTCTGATATGAATGCTCGAAAGAGAAGTGGAACATTTCGGGAAAAAGGAAAGATTATTTGTTGAACTTCGAAGTTTCTAAAAGTATGACAGTGATTTGTGATTTTGATTAGAATCAAGTAATTACTGGACATGGGCACTTCACGGCATACCCAAAAAGATTTAATTTGCAAAATAAGTCTTTGTAGTGCTCGAGGCAGTGCATGACATTTTGTCGAAACTACATATTATTGCGACATGTTTTTAGATTTGCAAAGGATTTAATGAACTTTATAAATGGCAATAGAACAATATGGAGAATTTGGGTTTGATATTTTTAACTGTATTTTTATTTTAATCTGTGTTGAGTGTGTTCCATTAACCATGAGACTGATTATTATTGGCCAGGAGGCTTGCAGCACATTCGCATATTATGATACATTACATATTTAGATATCTCTTCAGCTGAGTCAAAAAGAAAAACATGTCACCTTATATACAATGCCAGCACATTTATTTAATAAATTTTTATATTAAATCTGTATCTGTAAATTTTGATATTGAATCTGATATTATTTTATAGTAGCATGTCTTTATAGACTAATGAGTTATATATGCCAAAAATTACAATTAAAAAGGGAGGCTTTCAGTTTGCTTCAGTAATATGCTTACATTTCAGAATCAAGCCAAATGAAACGTATGCTGATGTTACTTATATATATACATTATGTAAAAATATGCAAGGTTAAAAAATGCAAATCAAAATTATAATTTAAAATGCCTCTTAATTGCTCATTTTTAACTTGAGTACTTTTTCTCTAGTAATAACTTTCTCTAAACTGCATCATATCTGAAAACGTATTCCGCATTATGTCATCTTGAAACTTCTTCGTTGCCTATAAGTTTTAGCCAATCAGATTAATGAAAAATTATATTCTAAATATTGTTGCAATCCTACTACCCTCCCTCTTTCTTTGCCTATGCTTGCTGGCTGAAGGATGTCTCTTGCTTGCCTGCTTTTGTTAAAAATATAATATGCCATCATCAAAATTGCGGGATGCAAATTGTCCCCATTGTGAAGTGCAGCAAGTAATAAAGACATATTTGGAATATCAAGGAATTTTGTGATTCTTCAAAAGTTCCCTGCGTCTTCTGCTACGTATTGATATTTTCAGTGTTCTTCTAATCGTCAATCCACTCAAGACTGCAAAATAATGTCTTCCCTAGTCAAGCATTAATCTTTCATCAATTTATTGCAATTGACTTACTAAATCTTATCATCACGCATATATATATAATATACATTTCAAGGAAGACAAATATGGGATTCCTTTTTCGCAAGAAAAAAAAGTTTTGAATTTTCATGTTAGGAAACTGCATTTTAGTTTTTCATTCAAATCCTCATATATTCAATTAACTTGTGATTGAAATGTTCTAGAATTACATGCACAGTATCTGTTCTTAAGAAAGCTATTGGGAAATTTCGATTGATAAAGGTTGCTGCTTTTCTAGAGCAGGACTAAAGAATAAAGAAGTTAGATTTCCTATCTTGAAATGAAGCTAGTATGTGCAAAGTTTGTGGCAAGAATTTAGAGGAACGTTATTGAAAATAGCTCCAAAGTACACAAAATCTGAACATTCTTTTCAGTTTCTAGGTACCATCCTTGATTGTGCATTATAAATATAATAACCTCTTGAGTAGCTATGTTATTAATTTAGAAATCAAACAACAGCTATGTTCTGTCATTGTGGATTAAAAAAAAATGAAGATTAATCCAGTAATTTTTGTTTCAACATCTTTCAGCTGATTTTTGCAAAGAAGGAATCAATTTGAATTATGTGATTCCATGAGTACCAAATGGGGGGGGGGAATCGAAATTCTTTCAAGATGAAGGTATCATCTGTACCAAAGACCTTTGTATGGAAAACTACAAAATCATATATATTACTACTGAAACTATGAAATGCATCCACTGTTATGAAAGATTACATAGCGAGAAGAAAGGGTTAGAGAGCAGATGCTATTTAAGATGTTCACAGATTTCTTCTCTGATAGTTATTCAATTTATTTACTTCTACTATTAAAAGCTCACATTAATAGAATTCTGTTACCTACAACAAGGAATGAATCATTGTGCAGCTGTCAATTGGTATAATTGCATGCTTTCTTATTTGTGAATTTTTGTGTTTATATTTGTTTTAGAATTTGAAAAAAAAAAAAAAAATCTTTTCATGAAGTTGTATACATTGTTAGGTTTGCATGCCTGGTGTCCAATTAGATTTCATATCAATAATTATGTTTGACTAGAAATAGTGTCTTGGTAACCAAAAATTAACAATCTAAATTATTGAATGTATGGGAAAAAAGTGCTAGTATATTACTTTATGCCATAAACCTGCATTTGTGCTGTGTGTTATAGATTTTTTACAAAAAATCATCTCCCTTTTTTACAACATATTTCTTCTGTAAAATCTTACAAGAAGTTTGAGCTTTTACAATGTGGTCTGATTTAAAGTAAACAACTTCAAATGAAGATTTCATAACTCTTATGTGCATAATGATTACATTGCCTGGAAGCACTGCTGGGTTTAAAAGAATATTCTCCAGTTTTTAGGTTTTTCATTGCAAATTGTGAAATTTTTTTTAGCATTTGAGACAGTAACAAAGTTGGGTACTTTTCGGTTTCGAGGGCCGTAAAAAATCGCCAAACTATTGTTGATGCCAATGCTGCCAAAAATAATTCCGGCAAGAAAGGAAGTATAATAGTAAATAACTATATAAGATTGATGTTTTAATTTAGATGAAAGGTTAATTTCATATAATACTTTTTTATTATTATAATTTATTATGAAAAAAGGCTAAAAATGATTGAATGGAAGCATAAGAGTAAATAACTATCTCAGATTATTACTATAATTTATATAAAAATTGCTAAACATAACTGAATGGATGCTTGCATCGCTATTTCACTACAGACCTATCGCTAAAGCATAATTTCATCTCGTTGGTTGTTCAAACGTAATTTTCTATAATGAATGATGCCTTTTCTTTGAAAATATTCTCTGTAAAGTGCAGAATCGCTCACTTTTGTTTGCCGCTTTTTACAAGGGTAAAAACAATTGGATTTTTGTCAATTTCTTTTACTTTTTAAGTGAAAATGGGTCAATGTGTACGTAGATAAAGTCAAGGGTGTGCGCAGTGCCATTTTTGTGCAATTCTAGGATTTTTCTTTTTAAAGTGAAAATAGGTCGATGTGCACATGGATACCAAGTATGTGCAATTCTTAAAAATGCGTCAAGCAGTGGGTGACTCTGCATTTTACCCAAAATTCTATTGCCGAGTTTTCATCATGGGCAATTCCCAAATTGTTAAATCCATAGGATATCAAAAAAGGATTTAAAAATTGAACTAGTATTTCAATGGCGTCTTAAGAAATATAGAACTATATAAACTTACGCAATCTGAAATCAGCGCGTACGCTAGATTTTGCGCACTGTTAAATGGGCGCGTTTGCTAGATTTAACGCTTTTGCGCGTACATTTTAGCTGCAATTTTTTTACGTCCCTCCAAACCGAATAGTACCCAAAGTTGTTTTACTGTAAACTATTGCATAGTATAGACTGATTGAACCTGAATGGCAAATTTGATACTATGTGGTTTTGAATAAATGCTGTAGACTTTATTGTCAAACTTTTAAAATAGATTTCTTACTACTAAATGATGCTACAATAAATTTTTAGATATTTAATGAGTTTTTGCATGTTATTGTCATTATATTAAAAGCTAGTTTTCGTCTATGCTTATTTCACTTAGCTGCAACTAATGGTTTTTAACTACTTTGGCAGCCTTGATATAAGATGTAGTTTATTAAATGATATGCTGTGGATTGTATATTTTCTTTGCACTTATTTATTTAATGTAATTTTTTTTTTTTTTTTTTTAGGAGGAAGAAGACTGTAGAACTGCATTTATAAATTTAATTGTTTTAGCTATTACTACATGTGACAATAACGATATTCGTCAGATTATAGAGGTTAAAGGTATTTTTTAATGTATTTTTCCTTTTATTTTATGAAAGTAATTAAAAAGCATAAATTTTATCAAATTATTTCATCATGTTTTATAGTCTTGAAAAGTTTGTAAAGAATTTTGTGTTTAGTGCCCAAATTTTATAAGCAATATTGTTTTCATTTGAATATATGTCTGCATTAAATATAAATAAATAATATTTTATAATTATCTATTTGAGTCAAGAGAAAGCAGTCAGAAAAAGCTCCAATTAGTTAATGAAAACATGTAAGAATACATATTTTTTCACATCAGTTAATAATCCAGATTATTGATCATAATAAAATCACTTTTCACTTATCATCAATTTCAAATAAAGTCTCAATATTTTTTGATAGCCAGGTGGCTGGACCATTTTTAGGAGTAATTTCTTCATATAAATTTGTCTTCAGTTTATGCATATAAATGCAGCTGTCTTAAATTTATTATGCTGTGGTTATTTGGCAGTCTGCAGGAAAAAATATGAGAGAAAAAGAAAAATTAATTTTTGATATGAAATGTGTGAGTATTATTAGATAAGGGACTAAAAGTATACATTTTTGAGAATGTGGAAGTCTTAAAAGAAATTTAATTTACCAGTAATATTTTTATGTAATAGTTTTAATTTCAAGATGCATCAATTATAGAAGCTGGGTTCTGTGTAGTTAATACATTCTGTAACACTAGAGGTTACTGTATAAAAATTTACATTTTTTACTTGCCACTTGTTGTAAAATGTCAAAAACATGTACTGTTTTTATTTTTTTTTAACTATGAGAAATACAAGTTATTTTACTGCCAATTTTTTTTTTCAATGAAGCTGGGAATAATTTCATATTAGGAAAATCTTACAAAATTTTACCAACAGCAGTTTTCAAGAAATTTCAGTCCTACATGAAAGAAAAAGAAACTTTATAAAGTATACTATTTTACATGTATTTTAAAAAAACTTTCATGGAGATTAATTTTTCTGCATGAATATAACTTACTCATTTAGATAATTATTGTTGTGACTGATATTTTTCAATGCATTTGTAAGCATATTTATATTAAAAAATTAATAAAATTTAAATTTTTTAATAGGATTCTTGAATGATGTATTACCTGGTTTGGTATCTGATCGTGCTTCAACGATAACACTTGTGTTGTCTACATTTCATAATCATGTAAGTTTTCTGTTCCCTGCCAATGTCAGTAGCTTTCATGTATTTCAACCTCATTCATAATTTTTATGACTTCTGAAATTTACCATTAAAATATAAGGATAACATACTGTAAAGGCCCGTCCACATGAGTACGCTCGAAACATAGCTGACAAACGCTCTTTTACGTTACCAGCGTAAAAGCGTCCAAACAAGTACACACCAATAGAATTATTTTGCGCAAAAATCACGTGACGTTGTAATATAGAGTCAACAGAGCTGTATGTTATTACAGCTTCTGTATGTTTGCGGCAAGTTGTCCGAAACAGATGATTTTTTTTTCATAGCTGAAACTTTATTATTAAGTGCAATTATTAAGCAGAGGCAAAACCGCAAAAAATGGCAAGAATGGGTCCGGAAAATTTATTTAGAGCGACCTGTTCAAAGAGGTTTTTTTTACTGCCTCGTTTGCGAAATGAATATCTGTAATTATTAAATTCCTACTATTAGCTCACACTCTCCCTATATCTTGTTCAAATTTTCAGTACATAAAATGCTTTTTATTCATCCACTCAAGTTCAAATACAATTTTTTAAACTTGTAGTGAAAGACACTTGATGATAATACAGCTTTTTCACATATTAAAATTTTTAATTTAAAAAAATTCTGTTTGTATTTTTTATTTATTTATTTGTATTTTTAATTTTCTTTGTGGACCTAAGTAGGAATTGACTTTTTTTTTTTTTTTTTTTTTTTTTTTTTTATGTTACTTGCTTTTTAATTACTTCAGGATGAGTATTGACCAGTTTGACAGACTTGCAGATTGTATATTGTATGAAAATTAGGATTTATAAAATTGGTTTGAAATACAGTATATAAAGGGAATTAAATTACTTAATTAATCTTTATATACACCATCCGCCATGTAATAAAATCAACTTCATATTTTTTAAACTCCCCCTCCCTTGGTCTTTTGTTTTTCTTTTTATTTATTTTTGAATTTAGAATGAGGTTCAAACTGTGTACAGTTTATGAGAAATTATGTGCATGATAAAATATGCAATAAAGTAAAAATAAAGAGAGAATTTATAGATGATATATGATAAAGAGATGCAGATATATTATTACATAAGGATTTCTATTTGCAATGCACATTTTTAAACTAAATTAAAAACAATAATAACGAATAAAATAAGAAATGAAAACAATAATAATAGGTAAAATAAGAATATAATGATTCATGATTAAATATAAGAAACATGTTTCAAAATAAGAAAAGCTAACTGAATTGTATACTGTCTACGGGTGAGGTTTGAACTCGCTACCTTTCCATTTGCAAAGCAACGCACTGACCACTCAGCTATCTGTGCTAGTAGTGTTTATGAAAAATAATGTAACAAGTAGAAGTCGCTGCAAAGGTAATTAAATTAAACTTCAATAAATGATTGCTGTATGACACAAGTTGTAACTTTCCTCCAAAATTTCATAATCGTATTTTATTGAATATTCTTTCACAGTCAACTGCTTTATTTTAGAAGTTGTTATATTGCCGAAGTTAGTTTTTGGTGTATTTAATATTGGAATATTTATAGAGCTTTTTATTACACATGATGTAGCCAATATTTATAATAATTAAGGAGAATTTTGTAAGGCAGAAACTTTGATTTCGTAGAAACTGTAATTTATTTAGGTTCCTATTACTTACAGTGTTATAAATAGGTGAAGCATATGGATATACTGGTCGGATCATTGCTTTATAAATATACAGTTTTTCCCTTTAATAAAAATTTTAAATTTATACCAATATATACGGTTTGAGAAATCTGAAGATGGGGTGAACAATGCTGATAATTTTATTGCTGTATACAGTTCTGATATTTCTAAGCAAAAACTCATCTCTGTGTGGTTCTGATGCCATATTGAAACAGGTAAGCAAGAAGGTTTTCTGATTATGACATGTGATAAGAACTCGGTCAGCTATTGGCTATACGCGCGTGTCGCGGGCGAAAAATCTGAACAGGGGCGTACTCAGTTTTAAGTCTTCTGCGTCATGCGAATTTACGCCTGCATCAACTACGTCGCGAGCGTCCTCGTGTGGACGGGCCTTTATACATGCCATATATTTAAACACAAAATGTTAAAGTTATTCCTTACCTAACAGGTTAAAAAAACTAGTGTATTGTTGAATTCAGTATTTTCTGATTATGCATACCCCTTCCACTGAAAAATTGCAAACACTTTGGCACCTAATTTTTTGCCAAGATAATGCACACGCAGAAGCCATTTTCAAAATGGTGACATACTAAGAATTCCATACAAGAGCAATCATGTAATAAAATTAAGAAACATAAATAATGCATTACCTATATTGCAGTTCATGGAGCCAGCTGGTGTTTGCAAATTCAGAAGGGTTGAATTACTTGAACTCACCACTAAAGAGCTCTTTTCTGATGAAGTAAAGTATTTCACTCTCATGACTTGGTCCCAAGTTTTGTTCTTCAAAGCCAACATTCTCAAATCACACTTCTGATTCACCATGTGGATGTCACCCTCGTCTGTATACTACAGTGTCACCCTTGTCTGTATACTCGTCGCTACTACAGTGGTCCCCTTTCGGATGGGACAGAAACATATGTCTCCTGTACCTACCAATCCGGGAAAAAAACTGACAAACTACATCACTTGTGCCACCTACGGCATCTTGCTTCACAAATGTTCAGTGCGTCCAGCTAACCATGCTCAATGAATGGAGCTGAATGCAGCCCTCCAACGCTATGGTCAACAACATCTGTGCATGGCTCCAAAACACGGCAACAATTAACCTATAGATGCTGGGAGAGGAAGTGTGGTAATCTGCAGAGTCAGCCAACCTCACAAGTTCAGAAGGGTTTAATTACCTGAATTATCACTGAAGAGCTTTTTTGTGATGAGGTAAAGCATTTCATTCTTATGACTTAGACCCAGTTTCTGTCCTTCAAAGCCAATGGAGTCTCTCATATCATACTTCTGATTTGACCCATAGATGTCACCAAGATCAAGCATCTGCTAAAACACCAAAGTGTTGAACAGCAGCAGGTAAAAAATGACCACAGTCTTCTGGCCACACATCTTTTTCAAGAAATCCTTAGTACTTTCCAATTATCTGCACACTCTTCCTGAAAAGTTGCCCATCAGTGGGGACTAATTTTTTGCCAAGGTAAAATGCAAAAGATGACAGTTTTTTTTCAAAATGGCAGCATGCTAAAAATTACATAAAATAGCAACCAATTAAATTTAAAGCCAAAATTTAAAGCACAAGACACATTGATAATAAAACATATACCTTTTCCATTCACTGTTCTTCCCATGTACACATTGATCTTTTTTAGCTTAAAAAACATGCAGCATTACAGAAACTTGGCATTAAATACCCTATTGTTTTGCTTGTATGCAGCGATCTGATTTTGCTTAAAACTTTAGAGAATTGCTCAAACTTGGCAATTAGCATACAGATTTTAATCCATAAAATTAAATCATTTGCAAAATACAGCTTCATGGAATGTGAATTTTTGAAATCTGTACAGTTTGACAAAATGCCATATTTCTGAAGTAATGCAATACAGTATGAAGTCTGAGATTCAGACTCATTGGGACTCTGGCAATTCTGAATTTGAGACTTTTCTGGATATTAGATCATCAATTTAAATCTAGGAAGATGGCATGTAGAAATTATAAAACTAAAAATATGAAATCACAATTTATGAAATAATGAAGTATTTATGATATAAAGGGTGTTAAAATTTACAAAAAAAAAATTAATATTTATTTGTTTACTTTATTAAACATTTCTTTGATTGTAAATTATTTAAGTTGCTTTGTTTTTATGCTGATACTTTCTCTTCAGTTCTATAGACATAATTTCTTGTTCTTGTTTCTTGAAGTTCCACTGTTCAAGTTTTGTAGTTGCTGTGTCGCGAATTCCAAATAACTAGTCAATTGAAATGTTTTCATTTTCTATAACCTCTCTGTCACTTTTTTCACTATTGTTAGTGGTATTTTCTAGATTTAGAACCATACTACAGATTTTGCCATCCATTAATTGATGATTGTCATTGCAGTAAAAAATTTCTGTTATATCATCTCCATTAATTACCACTTTCCCATATTTCTTTACAAAATCCATGGTGATAAAAAGATGGTAGTCACTAAAAGTAATAAATGATAAAAAAGTGAGAGTAGTATTGCAAACTTGCAAAAGCTTCGTAATTTCGAGTAAAAGACTGGGTCATTAATTTATGATGCTTTCCGCATTGTATTGCAGGGTGGAATCATATTCCTAACTTAGTCCTGCATTAGTTGATCCCATGCAAATTGTACTCTGTTTTTACAGCAGTTGAATAATGATGGAGTAATTTATAGCATTCCAGACTTTACTATCATGAACACATCTGAGAATTGATGCCCATGACTGCAATGCAACTGTCCTTGAGATGCCAGGAATATGAAAATGAGTGTTATCCTGTTAGAATAGAGAATTAGAGCAGATGTTCATAAATAGCAATGCCAGTGATTAAAGGACCTCATCATTGCACCATTAGGCTGTGAAAGAGCCCACAATGAAGACCAGCAGTGATTGTGAGCATATGAAATTGCAACTTGTGTGCCACATCCATCTGAGTCATCCTTCAAGACTCCATCCATTTGTGAGTATGAGGCATGAAAAAAAATATTGGTCTTGGTACTGTCTGCATTGGCTTTACAAGCAGATGAATTGGTTATCTACACCAAAACAAAGTAGCACTCATATCTAATGATTACTTGTTTGTGTTTAGCATGCTCTGTGATGCTCTCTTGTGACATTATTGCGGTTTATAATGATGCTAGTGTGCTGTCAGAGATAGTAATCAAAATGGTTTGAATACCTGTAATCTAATGGCATGCAACCATCATCTGCTAATGAAAATACATGCTACAGGAAAAGGATGATTGCTTGCTGATTGTTCACAGCCATGTCAGATCAAATGGTTTGTATATCATTCTGCCAT